TATATATATATATATATATATAAGTTATTCTTTTTCCAGTCTAAAAAAAATATTTAAAAACTAATATATTTTGTGGTTTTATTTTATATATTTATTTTTTTTTTCAATTTATTCCTATGCAAAGCTTTTTCAAATTCTTGAGTAGTAAATTGATATGCTAGAAAAAATTCCAAATTCGTTGCAACAAGCTTTGCCGCTAATATGCACCTAAATTAATCATGAAACAGAGTATACAAAATAAAAGAATAAATTTCACTATCACTAAATGAAAAGTAAGCGAATGACTATTTATCTGGCCGCACTTTGCATCGCGTAACGGTGCCACTTGAAAGCTTCGCGATAAGCACATGGCGCTCTCAGAGCTTTGGGCACACGAAAGCTTTCGCTCGTGCGCTCTCGGCAGTGGTTCAGTAACGCGATGCGATTGTCGCCAGCTGGTTGAGTCTCAAAGGCTGCTCACTCGGGGCTAATCGGTTGTGTTGTTGTTGTTGTTGTTGTTGTTGTCGGACCCGACTGATCGCAGGTAAAGTGATCTTTGAACCGGTTGAGGCCAAAGGTGGGGAGCGCTCAAAAGAAATGATTGAGTTTAGTTAGATTTAGTTTCGTTGGCTTGTTTATGCAACTCACGTCCATTGTCACTTAATATATCCACTTACAGTTGTACAGCGGCAGAGCGCGAAGCTGACGAGCCAAACGATGTCTTCGCTCAAGTTCTACTACGATCTGATGTCGCAGCCCTCGCGGGCGCTGTTCATCATATTCCGTTTGAGTGGAATGCAGTTCGAGGATTGCGTTGTGGCGCTGCGTAATGGTGGGTTTATTTGATGATAAACTTAAATATATCTCCCCATGTGATTATTACATATATGAGAAAATCTTCGTTTCAGGCGAGCATCTGACAGATGAGTTCAAGCTGAATATAAATCGTTTCCAGCGCGTGCCCTGCATTAACGATAATGGCTATAAGCTGGCGGAAAGCGTGGCCATACTGCGCTACCTCAGTGCCAAGGGCGAGATCCCGGAGATACTGTACCCCAAGTATTTCGCCAAGCAGGCTCGCGTCGATGAGTTCCTCGAGTGGCAGCATACGACGCTGCGCGTCACCTGTGCCATGTACTTTCGCACCATCTGGCTGGATCCGCTGCTGACGGGTCGTTCGCCCAAGGAGGACAAAATCGAGAAGCTGCGCATGCACATGGAGCGCAATCTGGACATCATCGAGCAGGTCTGGCTGGCCAAGAGCGAGTTCCTAACCGGATCTACGCTCACGGTGGCCGACATCTTTGCCGCCTGTGAAATCGAGCAAACGCGTAAGTTAATCTGCATTGCTTGACAAGATTAGACACTCTCATGCCACCTTTGCCCCATCCATCAATAGGCATGGCCGATTACGATGTGCGCATCAAGTTCCCCAAGATACGCGCCTGGCTGAAGCGCGTCCGGCACAGCTGCAATCCGCACTACGATGCGGCCCACGCGTTCGTCTACAAAATTTCGGGCACTGGACCACAGGCGAAACTCTGAAGCACTACCAAACCGCAGACCCTGTAATTAGCTTTTGTCAATTTTAGTTAGGATTTAAGTTAAGCTAGCAAATGTTAAGTATTGCCAAATAATACATTTTAATAAACAAAAGTTTTATATTTTTATATATTTTATCTTTTATGGAACAATCACTTTCAAATGTGAATACAAATTTTTTGATATTCACATTTTATTTGTTGGGTTCCACAAAATATTTGAAGATTTGTTAAATATTTGTAAAATACTTTCAAATAATTTTTAACATTCAAATTTATATATTAAAATATTTTAAAATCATTTTCAAATATAGTTAACGTGTTGAAAATTTGTACATATTATATATATTTCCTTTATGTATATAAATAATAATATGTGTATAATAATAATAGTTTAACATAAATTTATATATACTTGTTAAATATTTGAAAATAACTTTTCAGACATTACAAAATTTTCCAATAATTTAGCAGAAGAAAATCGTAGTGCTTCATAAAAGTATATGTATATACCGAACCAGTTCGATCCATCAATTTTGCCTGAATTTTCGGTTTAAAATAAATTTAAATGAAAAAAACAAGCACAGATTCAGATTTATGTATACGATATGAAAATATTTCAAACTAAATCGAGTCAACATCAAAAACGAGCTAATATGCTCAGCTATAATACTTGCCTTGATTGTCTGATTTATTGAGTTGAACCGACTGAAAATGATTCAAAAACCTTCAAAGTTATTCGCTTTATAAGTACTCTTATGATGTTTGTTTTATTGTGTCGTCATTGTAGCTTTTATAAGTTCACATTTATTTAAAAAAAATACAATTTTAAAAATAACTACCTAAAACTAATAAAAATATTAATAATATATAATATAATATAATAATATATATAGCAACGTTACGCGCTTGGATTTCTAACATTTTGCAACAATTTTTTCTTTCAGTTTTTGCGATAACAAAATATAGTATGTATAAATAAAATAGGATTAAAAAAAAAAAAATGTATATTTATATATATGAATTTAATAAACATGTGAAATGAAAAAAAAAAAAAAAATCAGAATAATCAAATAAAGCAAAAATTAATTTTAATATATACAAAAAAAAAAAAAAAGGGAAAAACTATACAATATGGATATAATTATACATATATATCTGCATACATAAATATATACACATGTGTGCATGTGTGCGTGTGTGTGTGTGTTTGTGTGTGTATATATAAAACTACATACAACTCTAGACTATTTACTTAATGATTATATTTGCATGTATATTTTGTGTTGCTGAATTCAACTTAAAATATAAAAAAAAAATAATAATAATATTAATAATACATATACATTTATTTGTATACATTATATTTTATATAGGTATATTAGGTATGCATGTGTGTGTGTGTGTTGATTATTATGGATACATTTATGCTCTCTTTGTCCTCTTATAACTCTCTCACATTCATTCATTGCCGACACACACTCCAATGTATATATAATAATGCCCTGCTATACTTATTGCTGAATTCATTAAATATTAGATATACATACATACACATATGAAATTTGTAATTTGTTTGCCAAGGGGGTTTACTATTTAGCTGCTCCTTGTCGTCTGTCGGTAACTGAGGGGCCTAAGCTCCACGTCGAACAGGCAGCTGCATTGGGCCCCGCTCAGCTAGATCCACGCGATGTTGGACTTGGCTAACGCTTAGCATTTTACAAAACATGGTCGACTCCTAAACTAATGACACGCGAGCACCCAACGCACACATATATATATATGCATATACATATATGTTTTGTATATATGTGCTTTTTGCCAAATTCCCAAGCGAGCACCGAGCACTGTGGGCAGCGTTCCCTAAATCATGTCACTCACAAATTTTCAAAGCAAAGCAATTAAGGCACCTAAAAGTGTTTCCATCTACGCACTAGAATCTATCCATAGGTGTATGAACAGGTACAGGTACATAACTACATATACATAACAGTCGAAATACATTGCAAATCATACAAAGCAGCTGCCTGCCCCTCTCTCTCACTCTCTCCCACTCTTTATTGCTATCTCTCTCTAAGTTATAGACAGGCGACATTGTTTAGTTATGTTTAAACATGGTATATATATATATAAATAGATATATGTATGTATGCACTGTTGTTTTTGTTTTCCTTCTATATATGGCTATCGAACATAGATTGTAAACGTCTGAATGTGTCTGGTTCGGTGTGTCTGTGTGATTATTTTCACATATACATGTTTCTCTGTATGTGTGGGTGTATGTGTGTTTGTATATGGGTTAAGCATAATCCGTACTATTGTATAGGTTTTACAAAATAGTTGCATATATATATATATATTTATGTCTCCCTCTATGCGATGCGCTGTCTCTACAATTATTACTTTCGCTTTTCCATTGTTCCCTCGGTGTGTTTGTGTGCGTTTGTGGGGCTTGTTGGGAATTTGTTTATGTTGTTTTTTTTTTCTTCGTTTCGTTTTTTAAATTTTTGTTACATTTCTTTTTAGGGCTTGCTTTGAAATACTTTTCCCGTGTGCTTTATATATTTCGTTTATAATACTAATCCTTTCCAATATACATGTATATATATGTATGTATATATATAGATATAAATCAATATATTCCCTCACACATTCGAGTTGTCCGTTTGTTTCACTTCCCTTAGCTGCAAGCGGAATAAACGAAACTATTAATGGGAGATTCTTGAGCTCCATTTCATTGGGGCACTCACCTGCTCCAGCGGATGCATTTAGAAGCGCGCTCGATTGATGTTCTTGATGCGTATGCCCACCTCCAGCACTTGGTCACCGCCAGCTCCGCCTACAACGCCTCCGCCACCCCCACCACCGCCACCACCGCTGCTGCTGTGGCTGGCCGAGCTGCTGTTGCTGCATGGACTGCCGACGCCGCCGCCGCCACCGCCGCCGCTGGCGTTGCTGTTGCCGTTGCTGCCATCGCTCAGTGGCGAGTTGTTGTTGTTGTTGTTGCTCGAACTGGCGCCAGAGACGGGCAGCACGACATTGGCCTCTGTGACGCCACTCACACTGGCGCTGGCACTCGCACTGGTCGCTGTGGCGCCCAGCCTGCGCAATACTGTGGTGGTGGTGGTCGTTGTGGTTGTCGTCTCGGCCGCAGCAGCGCCATTCGCGCCCGCTGCGGCGCTGCCCAGTTTGAGCAGCTGCTGCTTGTGATGGCGATTGTGATGATTGTAGTTGATGGCCGTCAGATCGTGCCGTGAGGCACCGCCGCAGCCAGCACCACCGCTACAGGCACCACCTGCACCGCCACCGCCAACACCGTTATTTGCCGCATAGTCGTGCGGTCCGCCCACCGTATGACGCCGCTTGATTGAGCGATTCTGTTTGTTTTGTATCTGCCGCTTCTTGGTCAGATTCATGTCAGTCTTTTCATCCTTGGTCAGCGCGCCGGCGGCATGGGCCCACGACGACGACGACGATGTGGGCGAGCAGCAGGCGGCGGCCGCCGCAGCAGCCGCCGTGCTGGAGTTGCTGCTGCTCATGTGTCGGGTCGAGTAGTTGCGGCAGTTGAAGCTGGCGCTGCGAAAGAGTCGATGATCGCGTCGCTTTTTATTGTAGCGCTCGAGAAAAAACGATGGCGAGGGCGCGGCCATCAGCAGCTTCTCCTTGGGGTCGCTGGTGGTGGAGCCCTCCGAGTCGTCCTCGGAGCCGGCGTCACCAGTGCCGCCGCGTTGCTCGTAGGCCAGCGAGCTGCTGAACCGCAAGTTCTTGCTGCCGTACGAGTTGCGTTGCATCGCGCTGCCCGCGTTGCCCGTTTGCGAGCTGGGCGTGCCAGCCAGCGGTGTGGAGGCGCTGCTTGAGCCGGTGCCGGTGCCGGCGGTGGGCGTGGCGGCGCCACTAGCCGGCGCCGTTGAGCTGCCCTGATGGATGGGCGCCGTGGCCGAGTGCTGCAGCTTGTGCGCCGCCTTCAGCAGGCTGGCCGGCAGCGGCGCCACCGTCGGCTTCAGCATCAGCTGCAGATGTTTCTCGTCCTTGGCCTCGCCCAGCGTGTTGGTGGCCGTGCACGAGCGGCTCAGCAGCAGCGAGTGCGGCGCGTCCAGGGCGCAGAAGTTGTGGAACAGCCGCTCCGGCGACTCGTCCGCATACGGAATGTTCTCGGAGTGCAAGTGCAGCGGCTGCCCGAGCGTGTGTCGTCGATTTTTCGGAAACTCCGGCGAGCCGTTCTCATCGTTCGACTCCGAGCCGCTGCGCAGATTGCGCAGCTTGCTGTCCAGCGTGTCCGTGATGGTGGTCAGCGACATCGAACCTGGCCAATGAGCGGAATTAGTTACTGAACTGCATCCCCGGGGGAACGCTTGCCGCAGCGCCTTCACTTACCCGTATCGCTTAGCCGGCTGCTGGAATCGTCGTCGGTGAGCTGTATGGAGATGTCCACGCTGCTGCGCTGCTGTTGGTCGTGCTTGCCTATGCTGCTGGCCGAGTCGACGCTGGCCAGATCCTTCTCGTCGAGGCTGGCCTTGCGCGTCTGGCCGCTGCGCGAACTGGAGCTGGAGAGGAAGCCGCCGGTGCTGCGCTTCTTGGTGCTGGCTGCCGCCGCCTTCGCTGAGCTCGACGACGACGTGAAGGCGGACGAGCCCATCGCCGAGCTGAGCAGCTTGCTGGTGGTGCTGGTCTTGCTGCTGTGCAGCGTGGAGCTGCTGCTGGTGCTGGTGGTGCTGCTCGCTGATACCTTGGCGTAGTCCAGCGACTGAAAGTGAACAGCGGGCAGGATTAGGCCAAAATCGCAAATGCTTTGCACAGCCTTGCGCTGCATTCGTCTTTGGTTGTTGGTGCGGATGGTGGTTGTGGTGGTGGTGGTGGTATTGGTATTGGTGGTGTTTGTGGTGGTGCAGTGGGTATTGTGCTGAGCTTGGCTACTGCCGCTTACCAGAACACTCTCGCCCGAGTACGTGTCCGAGCTGACGGCGCTGCGCTTGCCGTGGGTTCGCCTACGCAGCTGCGGAATGAAACGTGAGGAGCGCGTCTCGCGCTCTGTGATGCGCTCAATCTTGGACAGGTTGTGCAGCAGCATGCTCGTTTGGTCCTCCTGCGTCTGCTGCGGCTGTGCAGGACTCGGCGCGGCCGCACCGCCGCTCAGCTCCGCCAAGTCCGGCAGGCTGCCGCCCTCAAAGAAAAACTCGTACTGCAAAGGAGAGAGGAAGAGTGGAATGTCAATTGATTTCTGCTGATCTCAGCTGCAGCATCTCAGCATCTCAGCTCACCTGCGTGACAAGCAGCTCGACAATGCGACACTGATGCTTCATGTCCTTGACGGCCGTCTCCAGTGTGTCGTTCGGTGTGCGTATAATGGATGGGCCAAAGATAATGGCCAGATTCTTCGGTTCCATGCGATTCACCTCGCAGTTGTCGCTGACGCGACACAGGTGCCGTATCAGATGCTTCATTGTCTCGTACGGATGGCGCGGCAACAGCTCCACAATATCCTTGAGCAGCATTATCCGCTCCATGCCCGTCTTCTTGTCCGCCTCAATGAAGTTGATGTAGAAGCTGGCGGGCATCAGGGCATCCGGCAGGCTCCGTATGAACAGCTTCAGCAAGCTGCTGACCACATTCACATCCTCCCACCGGACGTCGGTGGCACAGCTCTCGAACTGAAAGTCCTTGGTGTTCACCAGCTCGGACAGCTCAGAGATGGCCGCCTTGTTGCCCGGTATGCGATAGATGCCCACCACGCCCAGGCCTTTGGTTTCCACAATGTTGGTGCACACCTCCACCAGATGCGGCACGTACGCATTGTTCTTGGACATGGGACAGGCGCGCAGGGGCAGCCCAATGGAGCCGCCTGTCTTGTTGGCACAGCCCGAGGGTGAGGCCAGGTCGGCATGGGATACGCCGCCGCCACTGCCGCCGCCGCCGCCTCGTCGGAAGAGCAAGTCCTTCCAGTTCTTCGACTTGGGCGAGCCCAAGTCCTTCTCTGGCACATTCTTGTGGGAGGAGGGCTTGCGCAGCTTCATCACGGGCGAGATGGCGTCATTGGTGACGGCAGCTGCCGCTATTGTCGCCGCCACAGGTCCCTCCATCAGGGCCCCGCTCGAGTGCGAGCTCAACGGCGAGCTGTCCGCAGCGCCGGCCACATCGTCCAGGTAGCTGGACGTGGCTGCTGTCTTCTGTGGCTCCGCCAGCTGTTTGCCCGCCGGCTGCTCCTAAACGAAACACAAGCGTAATTAACAATGAAAATTCCGGGAAATCTGTGCATCAACTGCGGCTTACAATATCATCATAGTTAAGACTATCCTTCCACTGCAGCAGGCCAAAGAGGCGCTTCATCTCGTTGCTGTTTTTGGTCTTGAAAAGAATTTCGGTGTAGGGGCCGCAGGAGGGGGCCGTCGATGCCGGCGTTTGCGGCTCGGCGGCGCTGCTGCTGCCCGACGACGTCAGCTTATCGTGCGCATCATCCAAATTGAGCTCGTTGCCCAACGTGGCCAAGTGGGCGCCGCTGGCGCTCGGCTTGGACTGCATGCGTATCAAGAACTTCTTTTTGTCCAGCGACTCGTCAAAGAATTTAAAATTTCTAATATCAAGCTCTATCACCTGCCGGACAATGGGAAAGGGTTTGAATTAGCAACGCACATTCATGAGGAAGACCAGGGAACAACGCGACTCACATTGTGCTCCGACTTGGAATGGCGACCAGAGTAAATGCGCAGAATGTCGCCTTTGATCTCCAGTTTCACCTGACGCCACGATCGATACTCCGACATGCGCTACAGGAAGAAAACACGATGGATTTAGTACACCCTACCCTTCCAGGACTCACTTGAGAGTTGCATACCTTGCCATTGATGCAGGACGACTTGATCTCGATCTCCGTCTCGAAGGCTTCCAGCTCGTTGGGCACGTACTTGCCGTTCAGTTCCGCATCGATGTGGATGCTGTGCAAAGCGTAAGGATTAGCTAGACGATGTGGCCCACGGGTGGCTCGCGATGGACTCACCTGCTGCGCATATCGCTGCTGATCGAGGCACGCCGATTGCCATGGTGCGCGCTCAGGCGCACATCCTCCAGGCCGTTGGGTGTCTCGATGAACTCGTGCCCGGCGCCGGTAGTGCCGATCACATCGTATGTCGGGTCTGGATGCTCCTCCACCAGGGCCTTTGTCTTGTGCGGCTCCACGACGGACGCCGCTGCGGCTGCCGCGGCTGCTGCCGCAACAACAGCTGCCGCCGTGCTACCAGCACTACCAGCACCGCCCGCTGCCCCGCTGTCCGCTGCCGGCTCCGCATGGTATTCCGTCTCGTTGTTGGTGGCACGCAGATACGAGATCCGGCGCACCGGCTTGCCCTCGTCAAAGGAGCTGGACGAGAGCGGCTTGTACCGCCGCACCACATTCGCCGACGCTGTGGCCGCGTCCACAATGGCCGCGGCTGCAATCATAAAATTGAACTTCATTAAAATCAAATTGACAAATTCAGAACCAACGAAAATTTCCTTCACTCTACTTAAGAATTTTGATAAGGATCTAAAGAAGGTTATGAAGATGTCAGAAAAAAAAAAAAATAAAATAAAAAATAAATTCAATAAAATGAATGGGAAGTGGAGCAATGTAAGCTCCAGGAGCTTAGATTGACAAATGAAAGCACTTGATGCGGGAAGCTACTAGCTGAGCTGGGCATTCGACTCCGGCAACTGCAACTGGAAATTTGTTTGTTTCTTTTCTGTGAACATCCAACATGGAGTGATACCAGGGGAATATTGTGTGCCAGTTGGGCTGAAAATTTCGTAAGCTAATATAGACAAAAATGTGTTTTGATGAAACTCAATCTTATTATTTAAGAGAGTTTGCCTTCAACGCATTTATATGTGTATGCCAGTGTATACCCTGAGAATTATGGGAAATCAGGGTATACTGGATTTACTAACTATGTATGTAACATGCATAGCCCATAATATACTACACACAGGAGGAGTTCACTCCTTGTAGCTGTCTCTGAGCCTACAGGAGGAGCTACGAAATATATAGATTACATTGATTACAATTAATCGACAACTATCTACATGTTAGCATTTATCGATTAAAATCGATATCGAAATTCAGTTCTTAAATTATATATTGTACATCTTTGGAGCATGGGTCTTTAGGCCTTACAATTCTTTTATGTGTATTTTATGCAATTTTGTGTGTCTATTATATTTCGGATGTCAGCTCCAAAATTTCCCCCGAAATTCTTTAAATTGAGCTTCAATTGCAATTATAGCAAATATTTGGAATTCGACTTATGCAAGTGCACACAGGCAGTCTAATGAGTATTCTAAGAATCGCAATTGCCTTTGAATTATGTTTGAAATATCGGCTGCTGCTTTGCCAGATGGCGCTTTAAAGTGGCGGTGTTGGTAGAGGCTATGCGCCCAGCAATGCTTGGTTGTCGTGGTTTGCAAATTTGCACATGCATATGCGAGATAAATATGGTCCATAGGTGCATACGAGTAAAAAGACACAGATTAAACAGTTTTGAAGGTATCTCCTAACTGGATATCCAATCAAACTATTTAATTTGTTTTTAACCACAATATGATTAAGTTAAACTAAATTAAATTGATTATCAGCACAGCTAAGGCTACAATTCTTCAAAAATGAATTAAGGTATATCAAAATAGGGTATGCGTGTTAAAAAATTTATTTACTAAATACAGTGAACAGAATTTAATCCTGCTGTTAACGCTACAGCTCTACAGCTACAGCTTAATATTCGATATTCTCTTTCTTCTCTCTCTCGTGAGGATTATGAAGTGCAATTTCGACATAGTTTCATTTAAGATTTGTGATATGGTGCATTGTTTTCAAAGTGAAAGTTCTGACAATTTCTTCATATTATTATATAATGTAATATTTAATATTTTTAATATTTTATATATAATATATAATGCAGTCGAGTTTCGATAACTTTAAAATCGCGGTAAATCGAAAAAATTCAATCCCCATCGATAGTTTGAAATTATGTGTTAATCGAAAAAAAAGAAAAGAAAAGAAAGCCATTTCGTATTATGAGGACTCGTCTGTATATAACTATTATATAATATTTAAAAATTGCATTTTGACTCTCTTAAAGTTAGCTCAAAGCGAAAACTTGGATAGATAAATAACTGATTGGAAAAATTCAATTCTACTGCAGAATTTTTCTAGATCAAAAATGAAACTGGCATTATTCCCCAATTAATCCCAAAATTTCTCACGAGTAGCTCCCATGTTATAATGATTGACATGAGAGAGAAGTCCAGAGTTTCACACTTACCGCTGCTCTCGGCAATGTCCGCCAAGGTGGCAACCGTATGGGAGGCACTACCGCTGGGCTGCTGGTGCTCCGGAACACTGCTGAACTCTGCAAAGAGTCGAGCGATTCATAAGCTTCTTTTCTATTCAGATCAGTTTCAAGGTCACTTACTGCTTGGCGTCGACTCGAAGGTAGCGTTCGCTACCGTCGCCTTGTGCAGCTCCATGCGGCTGGTGTTCTGGCCATCGACGGCGCTGGTGCCGCCGGAGCTGCTGCTTTGCTGGTACTTGGCCTGCATCTGGTGCAGCGGATGCTGTTGCAGTGACTCGTATAGAACGCTCTGCTTTTTGGCTAACGCAACGGAGGCGGCGCTGCTCGCTTCGGCGGCGCCACTGGCGTTGGTATTGATGGACAGCGGCTTAAATGGATCAAAGCCTTTCGACATGTGTGTGACCAGCTTGCGCTCGAATCTAATCAGGCAAAAGAAACAAAAAAATCACCATTAGCAGAGCGTGAATATTTGAATGGGAGCCAGCCAGCCAGGAGCTGCTACTTACACCTTGTTGGTCACGCCCGTCTCCTGCAGCGTCTCAAAGTAGTCTAACTCATTGCCGTACTTGGCATTGTTGTTCGCAACGCTGACAGCCACCTGTCGTGGCTGCGCCGGCAGTGCACCCAAGGACCGAGGCGCCAGCTTGCTGCTCGTATAGCTATTGTACATGTCGTAGCCGAGCACAACTTGCTGCTGCTGCTGATGCTGCTGCTGGAGGTGGTGGTGGAGGTGATGCTGCTGCTGCTGCTGCTGCTGCTGTTTGTGCAGCACTTGGTGGCGCACGCGTGGTGCAACGTTGCCGCCTCCTGGTGGCGTCTGCGATGGGAAAAAGTGCTGCGCCGCTTGTTGCTTTTGCGGCATTGACTGCGACGCGTTGCCGTTGGATGTGGAGGAGGCGCTGCCTGAGGCGGACGACGAGGCAGACATCACACCTGAGGGTAACGGCGATTTCAGAAACTCCTCTTTCTGTTTGATGGATTCGCGCAGTCGTATCATTAGGTCGCTGTTATCGCTACTGCCGCTGCCGCTGCCACTGCCGCTGCCGCTGCCGCTGCCACTGCCACTGCCGCTGCCGCTGCCACTGGCAACATTCACGGCGTACAGTGTTTGGCTGAGGGCTGCTGCCGATTTGGGCTGGCGCTGGGTGGGCGTGGTCGGTGTTGTGCTTGCTAATACTGTTAGATTTGGCGGTTGATTGGCACTTTAAGTAGAAGAGAAAAGCAAATCAATTAGCCAAGGATTTACAATTAACTAAAGGTCAAAACAAAGCGAATGCGCGAAAAATAAAAATAAAATAAAATAAATCGACATTGAATCAGGTGCAAAGCTGAAATTAAGGATTTGTTAAAGAGTGTAATATGCATAAATATTTGATTGGAATCATATTTTCATAGGTCTGTCATTCTTTAGTTAAATGCATGTGGGTATTATCATAACTTATAAAAAGCCTATTTTTAAATAATAATAAATTTATTTTATATTTTTATATTATATTAAATTTATTTTATATTTTTATATTAGCCTATTTTATTTTATATTATATTAAAATTTATTTTATATTATATTAAATTTATTTTATATTTTTATATTATTTTAATTTATTTTATATTCTTATATTATATTAAATTTATTTTATATTTTTATATTATACTTAATTTATTTTATATTTTTATTATATATATTTTTATTATATATATTTTTATTATATATATTTTTATTATATATTTAGTTTATTTTATGTTTTTTATTACACTTAAATTCAATTTTTCTTGATTTTTAAATAATATACAATTCTTAAGTTAACAAAAATATTACTTTTTAATTATAAATATAGTTGTCAACTCTATTATTTTATTTGTATATACAACCTTTAATTTTTTTTTGTTTTATTTTATGTTCTAATTTTATTAAATTTATTAATTTATTTTTATATACTTTAATTTTTTTGCTCTGTTTTATTTTATAATTTCATTAAAGTTTTATTTATATATTTTGCAATTTTAATTTATTTTATTAGTTTATTTTTTTACTTTTAATATATATTTCATAATTTAACATGCTTAAATTGTATTTCTTTTAATATTTTCAACTTTTATTATTTTTTATGTTTGTAAAACAAGTTTATGTACAGTTTGTTATATTTTTCCTTCATTTCATTTATATGTTCTTTTCTTTTATAGATTTAAAATAGATGTAATATATTTTTATTATTTACATTTTTATGATTAGTTTTTATATGACAAATTTTCTAGTTTAATTTGTCATTTATTTAAATATTTTATTTTCAATATATTTTGCGTGACTTAAAAAAAAAATAATATTTAGACATATTTTTTTGGGTTCTCGTATTTTATTTTTATTTTTCATTATTTTCTTTATTCAATTTTCATTATACATATTTTATTTTATATTATTTTATATTTTTCTTCATTTTATTTAAGTTATATTGTTTGTTTGCTTGATTAACGACTAGGCAAAACATAATATTCAAATACATAATATTAGCTTGTTTTTTTTTTTTTTTTTTTTTTTTTTTTTTTTTTTTTTTTTTTTTTTGTTATGCAGCTGCAATAATAATTGAAAGTTTACGCTGGGTTTTTGATTTATTATAACATCAATTGTCAGTCATACTGAAAGCTAGAGCCCGCGTTATCTAAGATGTACATACATACATATATATGCATATACATGCAAATATATATCTGTATTTCAAACAGCTCAAATATGTGGCAATAGCGACTGCCTGATTGCCATACGAAATAAGGTCGCACTGTAGAGCTGAGAAATGTTTTTTTGGCGCGTGCCGTTAGCGTCGCCGTCGCTGTCGACGTCAAAGGCAATGTCAGCGCGAACGTCAACGTTTCAGTATCCGATTGGACGCCGTCAGCTGTTTGGGTACGCTGGTCACGACGACGACGACGACGATAACAGCATAGCCGTTGCCAAATACGAGTAAGCTGCGCAATTTGCGTAAACAGCAGCAGCAGCAGTTCACGCCTCGCCGCCGTCGCCGCCTCCTACGGCCGCGATGACGATTTGGATTATGAATGTGTTTTGTTATTCATTTGTGTTTGTTTATTAAGCGAATGTATTTGCTCAAGAATTTCATGCAAGCATCCAGACTGCAACGGATCACAGTTAGATAGAGAAACAGATCTTGCCGTTCCACAGGTCGGCGCAGCAGTCGTGAGCAGGAGCTGGAGCTGGAGCAGGAGCTGTACCCTTGAGCTCTGTTTTGTGGCTCGTCCAGTCATGGCAATGGCTAATGGCAGTCAGGTTGCCTAATGGCCATGGCCGTGGCATAACCAACTAACTGCACTCCACACGCTGGCCAAGTTATAATGATGTGTGTGTGTGTGTGTGTGTGTGTGTGTGTGTGTGTGTGTGTGTGTGCGATCTATATATGCACTCAAGACTTGATTCAATTAGATTGCGGCTGCTGCGTCAAGTAACTCTGATATAACTCAATTTGCCTGGCATAGCTTGCTTCGCTGCTGGCGCAGGCCAGCAGGACAACGGCGCTTGCTGGAGCGACGATATCCATTGCAGCCGAGAGCGCAGCAGCCAATGCAAATATCTCGCTCGAGCAACTTTTCTCGCAACTGTTCAAGCGCCAATGATGGAGGAGCGCGGGCATGGAGCTCTGCTAGTGCTTCCTTTGTTATGGGCTAAAAAGCAGAGCAACGTCAATGGATACCCTTGCCCTTGCCTAGCCTTGCAGTTGCAAGTGGTGGCGGGAGAGGGGGAGGGGGAGGTGGCTTCCTCATACAACAGGTGCAGCTGCTAATTAAGTGCCTCTGCCGCTGCCTCATTCCCCATTTTCCCTTTGTCTTAATTGAAAAAAATAGAAAAAAAGGAAAACCAACTCCTGATTGACCTTTGAGTGGCAGCATAAATTGATTTATGGACGTCAGCAGCAATCAGATACTTTGACCTTGCCAACTTTACGGCTGTGGGCGTTTAGCGCGGAAAATCGAAATCAACGCCACGCTCCCAGTTGCCTAATTAAAGTTTTCCCCCACCTTGCAATCGACTCGACGAAGCCAAGCGCAAACTAACAATATATATATATATATATTTTATTTTTGCAGCCAAGGCAACAACTCTTCAAAAAAAAAAAAGAAAAAAATTAATTAAGGTAAATGAAAATAGTGCGAGCGCATATAAATAGCGCTGTTTACTAAAAACAGTCAACAGAATTTAATCCTGTTATCGCTAGAGCTCTACAATTGTATTTCTTATATTACAATAGATGTATTTCTTTGAAATCGCCCTTGCATTGCTTTGCATTCCAATTTAATCAAAGAGTGGAATTCAGCTTATGCTTAGTATACTATTACTACATACATATTGCTTCCATTTGCATGAATACAGCTGTACATTGAGTTATGCACTGCACATTTCATGAATACGACATACGACTATACAGCTGTGTTCAGCGAAACAACGGTGCGATTTGTGTTCAGGTATGAAGCAATGCTAAATCGGTAAATGCGATTACCATGAAATCTCTATTTTCCAAGCTGCTCATGAAATTTCATTTGATGCGTTCTTCAAATTTCAATATTACAGTCGAATCTCCATAATGTTTATCCCCATCAAAATGAAAATCGCATTAAATCGAATAAAAATTCTATTCCCTTGCATAACACTCGCTTTCGATAATTCTCGATTATTTGAATGTCTGCCATTTGGAATTATCGAGACTCGACTGTGTTTACAATAATAGAGAGCGAAGCATGGCAATAGAATCCAACAAATCCTCAAATTGTATGGCAGTAGAGGATATATAAAGCTTTCGTAGTCTTACAAAAAACTTTTCAATATATGTATTTTAAAGTTATCAAATTTGGATGCCTTCGAAACCCATTGAAATCATTAATCACTTATGATAACTTTTCTATAGAGCATAATAAAATTGGCATAAATACGTATTTATATATCAGGCATTACAAGGGACAGTCAAGACATTCAAATGTCACTAAAATGTGATGGGAAAATGTAAAGAAAAGTATGTAGATAGTATCCCTAGCAAATAGCAATGCGGAGTAAAGTATTTCTGCGATTTCTTGGCAAATCCATATGCAAACTTTAATAACTGATGTTTAAAAGAAACTAAAACACTAAAGATCGATAACGATATTTATCGATTTTATAAATTTGACAAAACAAATATAAATTTATATATATTTAAATAAATAAATAAATAAATATATATATATATATACATATACATATATATAATTTTTTTTTTAATAATTTTTTTTTTTTTTTTTATCGTTTTGAGTTTTACAACACATTTATAATACTAATTAGCGAAAATCCACACGCCTATTCAGGATATCTATGATTTGAGTTTAAAAGGATTTACGTTTATTGTATTCCTAGTTCATACTTCTCCAGGGCTGGATGGACTCGACTCATATCAAAAACTATATATATTATTTGCAGTTTCTGACTTTAGCGAAAATACAACAAATTTCCATTGTATTCAGTTGATAAAAACTTGAAGTCATTAGCATTAAATGTTTATAAACAAAAGCCGCCTTTGAATAAATCTACTTTCTACATAAATATTTCTCATATTGCTATAAATTGAAAGTGAATTATTGAAATTGGCTTTCATAAAAAATTGGGGCTAAATACATACATACATATGTGTATGTGTATTGTATATGTATGTGTATCTGTGTATGTATAAGTAAGCCATATTAACACGAGCGCCCAAAACAATGCTCTTATGCGATTGCACAACAACAACAACAACAACAGCAGCAAAAAGCCCAAGTGACCATGGATAATGACAAGTGGAAATCCGTTTCCATGACCATGAAAATAAGCAAACTGACAGTTGACAGGAAAGGAGACAGAAAGTGTGTGTGTGAGAGAAAGAGAGCGGGAGTGAGAGAGAAACTGCAAATATGCAAATATTGCAAAACAATTTTAATCTATATTGTACTCGATGTCTATTTGGGCCATTGGGGGTCTATAGGGCCCTATATTGTACATATCTAATATCCCAGTATTGTTATCTGCACATAAGCTCTGTACACAGGGCTACTCAAAATAAATAGATCCATTAATACAAGTGATTCGAAACGCTGCGAATCGCGATTCTATTGTGCTGATTTCTTGTATTTTGTTGTTGTTGTTGCTATTGTTGTTGTTGTTGCTTATCAGCAAAGAGTGAGCCAAACACAAA